TGGTCACTTGGCCATTCCCAGTGGTCACTTGGCCATTCCCAGTGGTCACTTGGCCATTCCCATTGGTCACTTGACCATTCCCAGTGGTCACTTGGCCATTCCAGTGGTCACTTGGCCATTCCCAGTGGTCACTTGGCCATTCCAGTGGTCACTTGGCCATTCCAGTGGTCACTTGGCCATTCCCATTGGTCACTTGGCCATTCCCAGTGGTCACTTGGCCATTCCCATTGGTCACTTGGCCATTCCCATTGGTCACTTGGCCATTCCAGTGGTCTCTTGGCCATTCCCAGTGGTCACTTGATCCCATTGGTCAGTTGTCCCGGCCCCTCCCCCGCTGTCACCGTGGCCCCTCCCCCACCCTTTCCGCTCCATTTTCATCCATTTTTCCCAATTTTTGTTCATTTTTCCCAATTTTTGTTCATTTTTCCCAAATTTCCATTCATTTTCCCCTATTTTCGTTCAATTTCCCAATTTTTGTTCATTTTTCCCAATTTTCGCTCATTTTTCCCAATTTTTGTTCATTTTTCCCAATTTTCCTTCATTTCTCCCCAATTTTTTATTCATTTCCCTCAATTTTTTTTCATTTTTTCCCAAATTTTTTCCCTTTTTTTACTTTCCCCAATTTTTGTTCATTTTCCCCAATTTCTCTTCATTTTCTCCCATTTTTGTTCATTTTTCTTTATTTTTTTCCCTATTTTTCATTTGTTTTTTCCCAATTTTTATTCACTTTTCCAATTCTTTTTTCCCAATTTTCATTCATTTCCCCCAATTTTGATCTGTTTTCCCCATTTTTGGTTCATTTTTCTCTTTTTTTTTCCGTTTTTCTCCATTTTTGATCATTTTTTTTTCCATTTTTCCTCATTTTTGGTCAGTATTCCCCATTTTTGCTCTATTTGTCCCAATTTTCCCATTTTTCTTCATTTTTCCCCAATTTTTGTTATTTTCCCCTATTTTTGCTCAACATTTGCCCATTTACCCTTTTTTTGTTCATTTTTTTCTCTATTTTTCCCAATTTTTTCATTTTTCCTAAATTTCTAAATTTCAATTTTTCTTTTCTGTTAACTTTCCAATTTTTTCTCAATTTTTTTTTTCCAGTTTTTTTGCAATTTTCTCATTTTTTTCCACTTTTTTCAAATTTTCTCAATTTTCCCATTTTTTTTGTAATTTTCCCTAATTTTTGTTCATTTTTCCCATTTTTTCATAATTTTTCCCATTTTTTCATCTTTTTTCCCAATTTTTGTTAATTTTCCCCGATTTTTGTTCATTTTTCCCCCAATTTTTGTTAATTTTTCCCATTTTTTCATAATTTTTCCCATTTTTTCATTTTTCCCCATTTCGTTCATCTTTTTTCTCAATTTTTCGTCATTTTCCCCAATTTTTGTTCGTTTTTTCCCCATTTTTTCTCAATTTTTTCCCATTTTTTCATCATTTTCCCAATTTTTCCCCATTTTTGTTCTTTTTTTCCCAATTTTTGTTCATTTTTCCCAATTTTTTTCATCAT